AATTCTAGACCATTTTTAAGTATGCTGTTTTGCCACAGCAAATGAATCTTTACTACGACCGCTTCAGTAGATAGTTTCAAGAAGAGACTTAACAACTGTGTGCTAATCTATGCCTTACTGTTCTTCATGTGTAATAGCTGTGACAGGCGCATCCCTTGTAAATTATTATGATTATTATCCCCATCATTCTCTGCCCGCTTTACTGATTATCACCTCCTATTCATTATTCTACCACCTTCAACTACATTAATAACATATCTAAGTTATTTACTTATGAAAATTATCTTTTTCCCTCTTATTCGCCCGCTAATTTCATAATTTACTATATCGCTACCAACGAATTTCATTTTACGGCTTTGATTTCTATGGTTTTAGCAACTTTGCTTCCTCATCGCAAATGTGAAAGAGCAAGAAATATTGGCCTCCAAATAATTGTGAGACTCACTAAGACCATAGCATCTCATTGTTTAGACTTTGTTGGCCATACTCACATCCAATCGGTATCAGCAATGAAAGATTATATGCTATTCAGAATCAATTTCAATATTCATTGACTTCATGAAGTCAGCTAAAATGATGGCAGAAGTTAAGCATGTCAGACAAAAATGGTTCATACATCCGCCAGTGCAAACAGATACAAAAACGCGATTAGGTGATGAGGAATATGTAAAATCAGGACATTTCTCATTATAAGTGTTTACACATTTCAAACAGCACACTAAATAACGAGAGTAAAGAGATGGATATTACGTAAGATAAGTAAATATGTAGGCAATCACAAGCCTAAAGATCACCAACGTAGATGATCTGTGTCGAATGATTGGGGGCTTATTTGAGTTAAAGAGTACGATCACTGCTGCATAGGCCAGCCTATGGCGTGTAACTAACTGATGTGTGTTAATTATCCTTACCGTTGACGGGGAACGACGGACCGTCCGACATTCGGTGCTCAACTGCCTGATGATTTGTCTAGGGTTCAGTGATGTTTCACTGGTCTTACAAACATAAAAAAGACGCTCAACTATACTATTAACAAGTACAAGGGTCGAGTTATTATGAAGACGAAAATAGCTCAAAAGCCACATGCTGTATGAGTCATTAAGGTTTGTCTGAAAGACAGAAAACCCTAGTAGAATTTACAGTTGTGGAACTGGTAAAAGACTACTTATAATGAACGGTGCTAAGACACGTGACAAGGCTCTAACATAAGGAAAAGTGAATGAAAGATCAACTGGTCTACGCCAGTCATACAAGCGATGGATTTTGAGTACTTCTTGTTTTTGGAGTTTAATAGTTTCAACAATTTGTATTGCTTGAAAGAACTTCACGAAGCAAGTTATTAAGGAGCAGATCAATGCTAGTGACCAGGTAGTGAAAGTTGTTTCTCTATTCTCTCTATTATAGTCGGTAAGTCATCGTTCGACTCACGTCCTGAGCATCAGGCAACTCCGCTCAAGTCCAAATGTAAGGAAATAATTAATACTGTTGTGGATGGAAATAGTCTAACTTCACCAAATGTTGTTGGGAGTAACTCGCTTGACCCACATGACACTGTCATAAAGAAAGCTAATAGCAAGAAGCCGGTAGCTAACCGGCAGGATCTGACATCACGGTCAAAGGCCGTGAACACGACGTTTAAGGCAGTTAAACAGGTGCCTAGTATAATCATCTGGAACTTGGCAGAATCGAAAGACACTGATCCCGCTAAGAGACATGCCCACGACCTGCAGTTAGTGGGATCTCTCATCAGAAATATACTGCCAGAGGAGGTCCCAGGGGTACATATCTCGAAAGTCATCAGACTTGGTAAGTATGTTGGAGGCGAAACCCAACAGAGAAGGATCCTCAAATTAGTACTCGGTAATTTTGAGGAACGGGACGTATTACTAAATAACTCACGCAAAACTCGTGACTCAAACATTCGTATTCGACCTGACTGGCCACTTGAGGATCGGATCAAGTGGAAGAATGCCCTAACAGAGTTAAAAACTCGAAGGCTAAACGGTGAAGCGAACCTTATGATTAAGGGTTTTCGGGTAGTCAGGTCTTGGAAGCCAATGCTTCCGAGACCTGTGTGGATAGAACGCATGTCTCCAAAAACACCCTAAATGTGTGTTATACGAACGCTCGTAGTTTTCGGAATAAGATGTCTGAACTAAGTTTGATGGTAGACGACTTAAATCTGGATATAATTGTTATCACCGAAACGTGGCTCACTGTAGATATAGACTGTTCTCCAGTCATTTCAGGCTACATCTGTATCAGAAGTGATAGAGTTAGAAGTCGCAAGGGAGGAGGCATAATATTATATATTAGGGACCACTTCCGCATTAACTCGATCATATCGGAGGTGCATGTAAGTGGTACGTGTGAGGTAGTACGTTGTACAATTAGGTCTAGAAACGGGTTAGTGACGATAGGAGGAATTTATCGTAGTCCGTGTTGTCTCGCTGACGACTTTATCCTAAAACACGTCTGTTCTTGGAGTAAAGCAGAATGTTGTCTCATCGTTGGAGATTTCAATGCACCCCATATAAACTGGATAGAGCTCACAGCTCCAGGTGGGGGTTTCGATAGCGTCCTTCTGTCATCAATTATTCAATGTGCACTTGTACAATGTATCGTTAAGCCAACACATATAGACTTGGAACATAATCCGTCATTGATAGACCTTGTCCTCACACACCACGGTGAAGATATCGTTGACATTCAACATCTTCCCCCACTGGTGAATAGTGACCATGTCGTACTTTCCTTTAAGTTCCGGATACATGGTATAGAATTTGCATCAGCTCCACCCCGTCCTAATATCTGGAGAGCTAATATTCCGGCAATCAGGGACTATGCTATCTCAATTGACTGGTCGGTCGATGCTGATGGATCGATTGATGATGCATGGAATAGGTTTAAGTCTGCGTTCGAATCCGTAACTCAACCGTTTATCCCATGGTCAGCACGTAAGTTATCATATTGCCCTCCATGGATTAATAAGGAAACCCGGAAGCTGTTGAAGCGTAGGAAACACTTCTGGGACTTATTCTTGTCAACAGGTCAGGCATCATTTAAGTGCGAATATAAAAAAATCCGGAATATATGTAAAAAGACCATAGCTAAATCCCGCACGGCTTACGAACGACAGTTGGCATACGATAGCCGTACCTGTCCGAAGCGACTGTTTTCGTACGTTAAAAGGCGGACGAAACGTAGTGATGGTATCCCCTCATTACTGTTAAGCGAAAATTCAGCTTTATTGGCCGAATCTGATCTGGCGAAAGCGGAGTTATTTGCAAACTATTTCAGTGAAGTCTACTCTACGTGTAGTGTTACAACTACTTGTCCCGTTGACAATGAGATACCAGCCATAGGGCCTTTACACGTGACAGAGGATATAGTTCTTCCTTTGATAACTAACCTAAAACCTTGTAAGATACCGGGCCCCGATGGGTTACACCCACGTTTGCTGTCGTCGCTTGCGGACATTATCTCAAGACCGCTCACGATGCTCTTCAACATGTCCCTTTCACAGGCTCAACTACCTAGAGACTGGAAAGACGCCATAGTTAGTCCTATATTTAAGGATGGTCAGAGACGGATAGTATCTAACTACCGGCCTGTTAGCCTGACCAGTATAGTAGTTAAGTTACTTGAAAAATTAATTCGGGCTAAGCTACTGAGCCACATAGATTCGTACAATCTGTTAACTCCCGAGCAACATGGGTTTCGTAACAAGCATTCATGCTTGACTAACTTACTCATTGCGAGAGAGGATTGGACAGCTGCACTAGACAACGGCCAGTCTGTCGACGTGATATTTATAGATTTTATCAAAGCGTTTGATAAGGTTTCACACTTAGGTCTTATGCAAAAGCTCTCGAGCTTTGGTATAACAGGTGCTATACAGGAATGGATAGGAAGCTTCTTATGTGACCGCAGACAGAGAGTGAGAGTCAATGGAACTCTATCCGAATGGAAACCGGTCAAAAGTGGTGTACCCCAAGGCACCATCTTAGGCCCTCTACTTTTCCTTCTGTATATTAATGAACTACCTTTATTACTTAAGTCGTCGACGTTATTGTTTGCGGATGATGTTAAAATCTGGAGAACAATAAGAAATGAGACTGATCGTTGTTATCTACAAGCAGATTTAGACGAATTAGTTAGGTGGGCTCATGATTGGGGCCTGGAAGTTAATTCCAGGAAGAGCGTGTTCATGCACATCGGGCACGATATTAGTTACCACTATACCATTAATGGTACATCTCTGCCACGCGTTCATGCGCATAAAGACTTAGGAGTAATTATAAGTCACGACTTAAAAACTACAACGCACTGCAGTGCGGTTGCTTCCAAAGGCTATCGCGCGCTATGGTCGCTTCGCAGAGCATTTAAATGCTTTGACGAGGATATGTTTCGAATTTTATATCCCACCTATGTAAGGCCACACTTAGAATACTGTATCCAAGCAGCTAGCCCTTGTCTGATAAAGGATACTAAATCGCTTGAGCGTGTCCAGCGTGTAGGGACAAAATTAGTAAAGGGTCTTTTCAAACTCCCTTACGATGAGCGTTTAAAACGTCTAAATCTTTTCCCCTTATCTTATCGTAGGACGCGAGGTGACCTTATACTGGCATTTCGTATCTTTAATTATGATCTGGGTGTTAATATGTCTTATCTTTTTGCTCCCTCCAGCACTAATAATCTCCGGGGTCATAGCAAGAAGGCTCTGAAACCGCGATCTAATAAACTAAAGGTGGATTCCCGTTTTTCTCATCGAGTGGTCAATGACTGGAACGCTTTACCAGAACAAGTGGTATCAGCACCATCAGTGAACATTTTCAAAAAGAAGCTGGACCTTCACTGGAAGGAAATCTGTCAGGATTAACACAGGTTCATCAACCTACTATCCTTATTACTGAAGACTGAAGACTGATTTCTTGTTTAAGCTGCCTTCTACCTTGCTCACTCAAAGCTATACTAACCAGCGCTGTGTATAACGTGAGATGGATTTCGGTAATTTCCATCAAACATATTTCACGGTTTTATGGTAGAGATAGTAAGATCTTCTGTACTGAAGTTGGTTCAAGAATCAAAAAGAAAAGGAAACTTTTCCCTGAACCGTTTGGCAGAACATGTATATTCTATGTTACAATCCGAATTATTGGTCAGATGTTATGATATCGCCAACATTGTTAATCGTCCTTCTATTTTGGTAAGAATACAAAAATTATCGGGCAGCCAGTTTTTATGCCTCGATAAAATTCAATTTATTTTCACTGGATTATGAAAATTTTGAGACTTAGGATTGGAGCAACTTACATAACTTACTATGTGGTGACGAAGATACAGTTAAGGTTAATATTGAATCTTGTGGATCTAAGTGAAATTTTTATTTTTGTCCGGCGACATCGACTGATTGTGAGAAAGATTCCAGCAACGACACTGTTTTCCGAAGCTTATATGAAATCTAATACGGAAAATAATTTTCTAATTTAGAAACATGCTCGTTAAAATGTTCAGTTTAACTGAACTTCCGCTATTTCTTAAGAGCAAGCTAAAATGAAGTGTAATTATATCATTTTTTCCAAATTCTCATCATATTACCTTACGGCGCTGCATGTTTATTTCCCCAAATTTCATTCATATTTAAATAAATTTGTTTGTTCGTAGGAACTTGGACTAGTTCACCTATTTTTCAGGTTTTACATCGAGAATAACCGGCCGGCCAACATTATTCCCATAAATATCCTAGTAATCAAGACAATTATTTCGTTACTTTAAGTAATATTTATTTGTTGAATTCACCTGTGGTGTCCATCTACTCGCTTTTTGGGACGTCATTAAATAAACTTCGTTTTCGTTGTTGGTCTCTAAAGTTTTATCTAGGTTTAACCATCGCCTTTTTTAAGTTTCCTTTACGAATCACTTCACTATCTGTGGTACCTTAAAACAGAAGTTCTGTAACATCGGTAAGCCAAGTTTAGTGTTCTTACGCATGCTTTTTCTGGTTGCTGACAAAATAGTTTCTTTGATTATTACTACAATGTCATTTTTCAAATTTGTTGGAGTCTCTCAACATATTCATCCAAAAATTCAAAAAAAGCGTACAACTTTTTACTGATAAAAATATAAATACCCTTTCAGTTACAAAACTATTGTTTAATACCTATTCGCTCGCCATGATATGCAGCAAAAAGTGGAGGCATACTGGGTATTATTCTAAATTTGGATCCACCTACATAGGTTCCTGTACTTGCGTGTTACCACCATCTCAGGTATAAACGTCCAAATAAATGAGCTTGCACGTAATCATCAAGTTACCTCAACTACTTTATATTCATCTAGTAAAGTTATTAGAGGTGCTACTGTGTAATACACGTTAGTTTATACTTTTCGATACATGCATATGAATGAATTAGAAATATCGTGTACTGGTGCGACAATTTTAAGATTTTACTTTTAGTTCTATCAGAATATCAATTTTAAGCATTAGTTACCCAATGGTAATCTGAATGGATATTACCAAAATATCTTGTGAAATCAGTCATTGTCAGTTTGTACGGGTTAGTAACCTCCTTAATTCTTAGCTGCTTTTCGTTACAGAACACTTATGGTGAAAACTACTTGCTTGGTCAATAGATCTGATTAAAAAATGGTTAGAAATACCTCTTCTCATGTTGACAGTGTTTTTATTTTGTATCCGACGATTTACTACTGTAGTTCAGCCCTTCGACTTGTTGTGGGGTAGGAAGATGTTTGTCTGACTGTTAAAGTTTAAAACGAAACAAAGAAAAAAAAGAGCATGTTTGATGGTAAATATAACTTCATTGAAACATTTGTATGGTCATAATTTACTTATGAGATTGGGGAGACTTGAATTTATGACCACTTACTGCCACTCGGCTGAAGAAAGTCAGCTACTTGATACTCTTAAACAAGGTCATCCGCAATTTGAGGGAATTGATGCTGCCTCTGATCTTTGTCATCGTATTTCACAGTAAACTTATCTATATTTCGTATTGTCCTTTTCTCCTGCGTCATGAAGTAAGGGAATAAATAAAATTTTCTCAGGATGACATAGATTTGCTGATTTCATGGTATATATTTATCAAACTACAAAATAAATAACACTGCAAATAGTTAAGAACACTAAACATACAAAGATACCAGGAAATATGTTTATCTGGGTATTAGAAAATATGTTTCTAGGATAATTAAGACACAATTCAGTGTTCATAATGCACAAGACTTATAAATTTGAATAGCTAATGAGTCACCAAATGGTTGCTTTACAAATAGAATAAACGTCGGAAGGCTAAGGAGTGAGGAAGGTTTCTGAGGACACGAATTATATTACTGATATCAGAAGACGGATTGAAAGTTTAGGTTGTCTAATTTACTAGCTGTGCAAAGCGTGGATAATAAGACTTTGTCTGAAACGGATCCTAAAATTGATGACATGAGAAAAATAATATGTGACTAAAGCGAGAGTGTAATGTTGGGAATAAAAATTGTCATATCAATACAGTGTACTTTGAGTAAGTAGGTTAGTTTTTAGGCGGCTGGTGATGACGCTCAGTTCTCTGTCTCAAAGACAAAACCTTGAAATTCTGCCTAGTTGGAGAATATTCCTGAGCTATAAGCAATATACATAACGTGCACTAAAAAACGTCCAAGATTACCGATATTTATACCAATAACCGTATAGATATTTTAGTTAATGGAGTCATTAATTTATTATGTGCAAATTAGTCTAATTGACTGACAATACATAGTTTACAAATAAGTGCATCATTTTATAAAATAAAGTCGATGGAACACTGAAAGCGTTCTGATGAGTTAAAGAGCTTATGGATGTTGTTAAATCTGGTGGTGTAAAGTAGCTATAAGCTAAATGGTTGGTACAAACTTTTAAATGTATTTATAGTGATATGGCTACAACCGAACTGATTTAACAAGAGATTCTCAAGTTATTCACCATGTCGAATGGAGTTTGATCATAATGCGAGGAAAACAGGCATCAAAGATGGTAATTATTATGAGCTTGGCTTGTTAATTAACTGGGGCCTTAAATATTAACAGCTGAATTGAAAATCAATAGTTAAACAAATTACTTTACTGGACAACTATTTGTATTTTCTTACAAAAGGTGTGCATTTTAAAGTTTCCCTTTCGCAGTCATTTCGGTATTGTAAGCAAATGACAATGATAAAAGCTGAAAATCTACGTTGATTAATTATTATTTTTTTATATAAGTCTTCACCTAATACTTTGGCTAAAATATATTCTTTTAATTCACAGTCAAATACATTTGTACCATATGGATCAATTTCAAAAATTTTTTATACAACAATTTTCTGCTCTTTTTAGGACGAGTTGGACAGTTGTATACCTTATGCAAACATTAGTGAAGTTCAAACAGGCTTACCTCCATTTTCAATGGATCAACTTAAAAAAAGAATCTCTGGTTTAAATTTACCGTACGGTACAGGTATATTTACTATCCAGTTACCTGATTATCAACCTCGATTTGGATATCGAAGGTCAGGTATTGTTCTTCGACAAGCAGTTATTAAAGGGGAAGTAGAAAATTTATTTGTTTCAGGTGTAGAACATGGCAGTCCAGCAAGCAAGTAAGTATTATTTTACTGTAATTAAATTTTCATCTACTTGCATGCTAGAAAATTATTTGTATTTTATCGTTTCAAATAAACAATAAAATCAGTGTAGTAGTTGTTTTTAAAGGTATTTAGTGTTAAATCAGCTTTTTTCAGTAGAAGATGGAATAATCAAGAATTTATTTTCTGTACAATGACATTTTAGGAAAAACTCACTCAGTATGAGTTATCGGAAATACTTATTACCTAATATGATATATAACAACTATAAGTACCTTTTCCCATGGGTTGTTAAATTACAAACTATTAATGTCCGTTGTAACTATCATTATTCTTACAGAAGTTGAATAAGATATCATCATCATTGAATTTGAATGACTTAACAATTTTACCGTTTATTACATCTTACAAATCTAGATACTGTTTCACCTTCATCTATATGATCATACAATTTACACCAGTTGATTACTAGTTTTTTATATTTATTTTAGTTTATTGTATAATTTAAATGTTGCCAATTAAATAACAGAATGATAACTTATTTAAATGACTAACAATCATCAATTGATCGCTTTCAATAACTTTATACTCAGATTGAATGATCATAGAATTCAAAAATAGAATTTAAAAAAGTCTGATCAATGGTTTTAGTTTATTATTTAAACATCTTAACAATATTTAATTTCATAGACATTATATTCAATCAAGATATAAGTGTTATATCGGGGCAAGAATAAATGAATGGTAACCGTTGGGGTCTATTTTTATAGACTAATGTTATATGTATATTTTTATTGTGTAACTATTAAGTGACTATATTGAGTGAGTATTCATATTCTCTCCATTATAAACTTTTATTTGATCTATTGACTATTATCATACGATTTATTATTGTTAAGATATATCCAATTTATTAGTAACGGTTTCTTATAATCATAGCCACCTTTGGTTTGATCTTGTACAAATGTTTTTTTTTATTATATGGTGTGATGTGGTCTGATTTGTTTGTATATAAACCTAGTATGTTTGAAATATATGATTCCTATCTCTAAATCTGATATTGGTATTCTGGATTTAACAGGTAAGGCTAAGCAGAAAAAGTGACTAATCAGTATTCTAGGTTGGTGTATGCGTCATGAGTTGGGCCGTATAAATCAGAGTATCTGAATTGGCAATCGTATTTCACAAAATCAAATAACCTAAGGATATAACAGTCAGGATTGATTGAAGTTAGACATTAACACCGTTGGATGCCGGCTCAGTGGTCTACCGGTTAAGTGCTCTGGCTCATGACTGGTAGGTCCTGGGTTCGAATCTCATGAGGCGGGATCGTGGATGCGCACTGTTAAGGAGTCCCATAAAAGGACGTAAAGGCCGTCCAGCGCTTCCAGGTTTTCCCTAGTGGTCTAGATTCAATTGACTCATGATTTCAATTATGAAAATATTGAAATCTCCACAAAACCCCTTCTAATTCTAATCAGGATAAAGTTTTTCATTTGTTTTTTGTTTCTTTGTTTGTAAATCATTTATTGATTTAGTCAATGAAGAATATTTATAAATGTGAAATGGATATATAAATATATATACCTTCAATATTTTAGTCTTAAATTTTAATTGATTTTAATTATTAAATTAATGATAATGAGAATGTAGTTAAGGTCACACACACTCACTAATCACCATTATAAGATGTATGTTTGTTTTTTTACCTTATACAACTAGAGTCATAAATTTATCTTTACATTTTGAGCATTTTGTAATTTGATATAATTTTAAAACAAATTTAATAAACTGTTGATTGTATCTATTTAAATGATAATAAATTATATTACTATTAAAACACTTTTGAATCTTGAAAGTAGTGAATTTAAAAAAATTCAGTACCTTTTAATGAATGTTATCTTTTTTCTAGTTTAGATATTTAGTAATAAACATTTGATAGATTGAAATAACAAAATATATTATGTATCATATTAGATAAATGGAAGAACTTTAACTTAACTTTTGAAACTTCTAATTTATAATTTTGATAATGATAATAATAATAATAATTAAACTTTTACCAACTTGGCTTACAGGTTTAAAATTCATATAATTTCGTTTAAGTCAATAGTTGATATCATTAACTTTTATATAAAATGTGCAGTTCATTCATGAGTAAACAAATCTATATTTGGCTAGCAGTGGAATCCAGAACACACGTTTCGTCCTATTTGGGACTCGTCATCTGGATGTACCTGCATCTCAGAGTTGATGTTCACTCTGGGACTCGAACCCAGTACCCTTCGCTTTAAACGCCATCACGTATTCCACTTATCTACTGAGTCTTGATAGCCACTTGCTTGTGCAACGGGGTGAATTTTGGATTCACTTGGTATTGTTTGTTTGAATCTTCCTATTGATGTTTAAGACTGCGATTGATTAGTCTCTTGTTGGCATATGTTCATCCTACGCGGACTGCCTCGGTATTGCCTGAAGTTACAAGCTTTATTAGCTTTATAAGAGTGAACATCAACTCTGAGATGCAGATACATCCGCCTGATGAGTCCCAAATAGGATGAAATGCGCATCCTGGATTTCATTGCTAGCCTCTATCCATCTTTGCTTATAATGCTTGTGAACTAAGGTTATATCGAGGCAATACGTACAGTATCCACATATGCCAACAAGAGACTGATCAATTGCAGTCCTAAATAACAATGGGAAGATACAAGTATACAACACCAAGTGAGTTTCACTCTTTTATTTTTATTTTGTTTAATTATCTTCATTTTATACATGCTGTGACATATATGATTCATATCATTTATTAAAAATTGTATGTTTTCTTATAAATTTACCGATAAGAGACAATATATAGTGTGAATGAAATTTCTCCTCTCACCACTTACGTTTCTATACAATATGTTATATTAACACTTATCATTTAACATCACATATCTCTTACACAGTAATACATATACCCAGCCTAGACATTATTATGAACATTGATTGGATGACCTATTCAATGTACAATGAAACGAAGAACCATGTACCTATTTATATTCGATAATGTTGATGTTTGATTATAATTCTTTGAAAAATCTTGAACCAAATTGCCAGGCGAAACGTTGGATTTACTTCAAATTCACTCGCTGAGATTTTACAAATGTATTAGTCCTAATTTATATCAACTTTATTTATTTATTTGAACACATAAATATTAGTACAAGGGGGCACGAGATACATATTCGCCACACGAAAAAATTATCATTTCATTTAATTGTGTAAGGGCTATGATACTGCCCGGGTGCCCAGACCGAAGCACGACTATATCAACTAAAGTTTATTAAACTTTTGTTTATTATTATATTACTCCCTTTAATTTTAACTTGTTTACAATTAATGAGACATCGTGAAATAAAATAATGAGTTTATTTTAAATAGGAATAATATATTTGCAAAATCTAAGCAAATGAATTTGAAGTAAAGCTAACGTTTCGCCTGACAATCTGGTCCAAGCTCTTATTGATAATTCCTTGAAAAAGCTTGGACCAAATTGCCAGGCGAAACGTTAAATTTACTTCAAATTCATTCGCTGAGATTTTACAAATATATTACTCCTAGATGTATCATGAAGTTATCGAAGGTTCAAATTGTACTATATGAACAAGTGAGAATTTAGATCATTGGATTACAGTTTGATTATATTTCCTTGAAAAAGCTTGGACCAGATTGCCAGGCGAAACGTTGGATTTACTACAAATTCATTCGCTGAGACTTTACAAATATATATTATTCCTATTTAATGTCTTACATCAACTCGGCGCTCAAGTACTGTGAAACTATTCGTTCTAATTTAGACGAAAGTTCTTATATATGAATTTATTTTGTTCTGTAAATTGTATTGAGGATAAAATACATGTCTGTGCATTTGTCAGGGATTTATTTTTCATATTTTAATGTTTGTGCAATATTTAGTCTTTTTTTATACGTTCATTTGATGAATAAGTACTTCATATAAAAGTATAATTACCACTGAAGATTGCCATTACAAACTTCACCTTTTATTTTATTAAATGAGTCAAGTCAAGATACACTACAGTAGGGTGTTCATAGAAGATATATGTTCATAATTTTCGATGATTAAAATGATTTCCCCAGTGAAAATTACACTCTTGTATACAAAACTGACACATTAAATGAACGGAAAAATGTTCAATAAAAGTTAGATATTATACTTTTATTGAGGAATGAAAAAAATATAGTTATCCTCTCATTCGAATAGCTTTTATTCTGTGAAAACTATTTTATTAACAAATGTTTATATAATCTAAATATGTACTTAGTACCAATTGTCGCTTCTTTTTACCTTGTTTTGTTATATATTTAGTAAATGTTCATATAACCACATGATTGCATTGATTAATTCACTCATTATGTAACTCTTACAATTATTTTGTTTGTTTATATTTCTGACTTAACAAAAGTTCGAGAATGACTGTTTGTTGTTGTTGTTGTTGCTGTCATCACAAAGATTATGTTGTTCATTATTCTGGCGTTGAAAACTAACATTACATTGAACAAACCTATAAAGAATAGGTGTGACATTTTGTATATATTTTTATATGTGCGTGTGTTGAGATGGCTGCAGTTGGTTGATAGATTGTTTACTTAATTATTTTTCTAGTATAATCAATAATTAAGCAGAGTCGATGCACCTTATGTTGGACATTGTGATTTGTTGAATTAATATGAATATTAACAGGTGATATATGTATATAAATGTTTAGTGATTGTTGTTTTGTATCCTTATCTATATAGATTTGATACAAAATGGTCATATCAATCTTTATGGATTGCTATGTAGTAAAATTGTTGGATGCATTATAATTTTATCTTTCCGAATACTTTATATTATTTGTCTAAATGGAATCATCGCATAACTGCTATATAAATGGTACTTATACTATCAGTTAACCCACTCTTATGCACTTATATTCAAAGCCTTCTCTCAATCATTTATAAAAATTAAATATTTTTAGAATTTCAACTGAGTATTGACTCTTTCGCTCCAGTCTTCATCTCGTTAATTTGAATTACTAAATTTTCCGTCTATCACAATATACACAACATGATATCAGTTACTTTTCAATGGTCGATTAGTTGAAAACACATTAAAGGAGCATCACAAACAAGATAAAAATTGAAAGATTTTCTTAAAAACATAATAAAACTCAGTAATCATACTAGCTCAGTGTAATAGGCTGTAAGAGGTGTTCTACAATGGTGAATCGTAGCACTGGATTGTTAATAATGAAACCAGTCTGGTGTCTAGACCAGTTGATAGCCCTAGATAACTTAGGTTAAGAAAGTGAAAGATACCATTTTATTCAGAATTTCAAACTTTTTTAGCACTCATTTTTAATTAGTTGATTTACAGTGGTATTTCAAAATTAGTAATTTTGTTTTAACTAAAGGTCTAGGGGGTCAATGCTACATAAATAGTAAATATTTATCTTCTGTACTACAATTAAATGCGTTAGATTCCTATGCATCGGACTACAGCCACCATTAATAAAAATTTACTATTTTGTAAGAAAAACAAGAAGTGATCACAGTCAGATATAGATGAATAAATATAACCTAGTTGATTATTTTATAGGTTGCAGTGATGTTCAGATATCATTCTTAACGATGAAATATTGATTTCAGTCGTCAAGACAGTCTTCATATTGTCTTAAACATTACATATGGCTGTGTACACTTTCTCAAAATAAGCACTTTGAAGACAGTAATTATATAGTAATCTGTTGTGACATTAATGAAGATAGGATATTCGATAATTCTGATGTTTCATTATAATTTCTTGAAAAAGCTTGGACCAGATTGCTAGGCGAAACGTTAGATTTACTTCAAATTCATTCGTTAGGATTTTACAATTACATTTTTTCTCATTAATATCTCATATAAACTCGGCGCCCAAATACTGTGAAACTATTCTATCAAATCTAGACGAAAGTCTGGTATATATATATATATATATATATATATATATATATATATATAAAGAGAGAGAGAGAGAGAGAGTTTCTTATCGTTAGGAATCAATATAATTGGTATACACTGAAGATGCCGTTTTGTAGTGGAATTCATTATGATAATTTACTAAAGGCTAACAAGAGTGTGCCTGTGGCGTGTTGTTCTACAAATTAATGCCATTTTTAATATAAGATATGGTCTTCATTAACGTAAACCCATAGTTCAAAGATTTCCATTAGACTATTTACCAGAATGATTTCCAAGTATGTAATAATAATGAGAAATTTACTGTTGAAAAAATTTAGTAATTAAGTTGTTTATCTAGATATTTTGTCTATTGCTATAACTCCAATCATTGTGATAGAGACTTTATTATTAGATTGCTACGTATTTTAGTTCAAGTGAAAAACATATGGTTACTCGCTTAGTTTAAGTTTATGGATCCCTTTACTTTAACATATAATGTGCAAATTTGTAAAGCTATAGCAAAGACTGTTACCCCTTTAATTGATTGTACCATATATATCCGATGTGCCTTATACTGTATGTTTGATGAAATTCATGAAGAAAAGGCTTTGAGGTGTTTTGATAAGCCTCCTAAATCAGTTAACTATAATCTCCTGATTTACATTTTTGTTTCGTGTGCCTAAAAGAAAAGTTTTCTATTTTTGTTTACCAGCATTTATATATATATATATATATATATATATATATATTTGTAAACGCTTTCAAAATAATTAAAAGTTGAACTTTAAGACAAGAGGTTTTTATTTGTGTGTATGTTTTGTTTATTTACTATCACAGTGCAATGGATTTGCAAATGGGAGATCGTATATATTCAATATCAGGTTACCCATTAGACTGGCATACATTAGAACAATTAAGATACAAGCTAATTGAACTGGATGGATTGGCACCAAATTCAAATATCTACGATTTAGCAAACTATCTACTTAATAGGCCTTACCAGAACACTGGGATTTCCCGTGATCATAATTATAATAAAAATAGTAGTGTTTTTGAAATACCTAGCGAACAAACTAATTTAACAAATTTTAAACCGCCAGTTCTTGTCATCTTTCGTTATCCAAAGTCAAATTCATTGTGGTCCAATCAAATATCTAATGACGAGACAAAAGAATTACAAGTAAGTTTATGTTATACTTATTTTTAAAAAATGGTGCTTCATCAAACAATCCACAGACAATCACAATTCCTAAAATCACCATCCAAGCTATCATAACCAAAGCAATCTACTTGCTGATCGACAAAAATCATTTTAGTGTTGCTTCATATAAATGTAGGAACACTATAGGCAGTTCATTTATGATCATACAATTTTGTGACAAAGTGTTGAGATATCAAAAGATTTTGATTTTAGTAATATTTACAGAAACTTTCTTAAAAAAATGTTATAACTTATTAGGTATTTTAAAGAAGTTTATAAAAACTATTTAAAATCCATCAGTTTCATCAAACTTGCTGTTTTCTTAAGTTTCAGGCAATAGAGAATAATAGTTCATTCAGTTGTTATGAAACAGTTCTTGAAAATGAAGGTAATAACAATGGACTTGGTCTACAGATAGGATCCAATCAAGGTATGATTTAGTATGATTGTGAATTGTGATAAACTGAGATACTTTATAATTCCACTAAAAACTAATTATCATCATAATGATAAGAGTTCATTAGTATTGATTCTCCGTCTGACAAATTACTGAAGAGGAATGATAAGAATGTATTATTGTTTGATATGACAATTTTATGTTTTATACGAAGCTGTTGAATTCTGATACAGAATTTTAAAACTGCAAATTTTAGTTACCATCGTTTCAAAAAAGTTAATTACAAATTATATTGATGGCTTTTGTCTAATAAAATCAGAGTTAGACGCTCATTTTTCCGATCATACTCTTGACACCAATTAAGTTGCGTTCTATCGTCATGTTATACCATCTAAAGTACAAAACACTTGAGAGTAAATCATAGATTTCTATTGAATTGAAATATATCAATACACTATCATTGTCAATTAACTACTGATAATATTTTAGTAAGAATTGAATTCTATTACACAGTTAGTGGAATATCTGAAAACCGATGAGTTATTTTTGTCTGTTATTTTCTATAATGATTGAATGATCGTTTACTGTGTTATTATTTCTTCATAAATCTAACAGAGAATACGGGAATCTACATTGTATCTATATTCAAAAATAGTCAAGCTGAAAGAGATGGTGTTTTAAGGGAAGGTGATCGTGTAACTGAGGTAATTTAAAAAAAACAATTAATGATTAGTACACTTTAATAATGTGCTCAAAATTATTTATGAAAACTTCATATTAAAAACACAATTGGTGAAGTTTGAAAACATAGATTTCCCTCCATAAAAAACTCAAAAAGTTACGTTTAAAAGTTATTTGAAGTTGTTCGGTCCCACAATGGTTCGATAAATTACAGTACTGGTTCAAAGTACAACATAACTTTTACTTTGAGAGTGACTGTATACACGTTGAAGAGGTTGCAATTCACAATGATTGGATAAATAGTCTATCAATAGTGTAGTCTGTTTAAAGTTTCATTAATAAAGAAACTGATTGCACAGTTGTTAATATGCCATCCTGAATAAGTTTTGTAATTTTAGATACTTACGAAATAGTTGATAAAATGTAACACGGGACAATTTCCGAAACCATGTTAAGTGGAGGAAATAAAACTGAAATTGTATTATTCCATAATGTCATACAATTTTCAGATAATAACTAATCCAACTGATTATTCGATGTAGGGATATTGAATTAAAAGAAAATTTGCCTTTTACTGTGGAATAGAATCAATATATCTTTGAAGAATATGTGTTTACAAATTACTTATTCGGCTTTGAAGATCAAATAACATTTTATGAAGTTTAGATTTCCTTAAGTGGATTAATTTCAGTACATTAACTGAATGATGTCAACTATTTATTTTTGGAAAATTTACTCAATACACATCAGCAACAAATTTAAAATAAATAAACTAATTATTTAATAGTTAAGTTTATAAGTCAATTAAACCTAGACCACCATGGAAAACGTGGAAGCACTGGACCGCCGTTTCGCTCTAGTATGGAATTCCTCAGCAATGCGCATCCACGATCTCGCTCGCAAGTGCTTCAACTCTAGACCACTGAGCCGGCATCCACAAAATTGTGCCTACGTGGATGTGTACTGTTGAGGAGTTTCGTCCTAGGACGAGATGACCGTCTAGTGCCTCCAGGTTTTCTATGGTGGTCTAGCTTTAAGTGATTCTTGAACTCAAAACCACTTTCTGAAAATAAGTTTTTGCTTAAAAAATGACAATCAAATTAAGTAATATCAAAAGGTGATTTATACGTAATTAATGATGACAATAATATATTCGTTATAATTTACCTAACTTATTTGAAAATACACTTTTATTAATTTGTAGTACACATCAAAATTGTCATATTTCTTTTGGTAATTATTATTCTAGGTAAATTATCAGAATCTTGAAGGATTAGATACTAAACAAGCTTTGAAAAAAGTTAAAAGTATATGTCGAAATACTAAATATGTACAAATTAAATGTTCAAGAAATATTCAAACTAATAATAATAATAGTGATTGTAAGTTGATTACTTTAGTTCTATTCTGCTTATTAATTCAATCAAATGAATAGCAAATTTCTAAATGTTAATATTATTTTAAGATGTTGGAGAAGATTTGTAGCACAGGTGGGTGATTTTGATGGAGTTTTGTTCTCTGAGCTAGATGGTTTGGTCGTGGAGCTTTCATCATCAACAAGAACCAATCAACGTAGAGGTGTGCAGGACAAGCTGTGAACCACATGTGGAGAAATTCATACACTTCACTTCTACCCGAAGTTTGTGCTGATGATGCTGTTCAGAAGGACGATGAAAGTTTCACGACCAAACCATTCGGCTCACAGAACAAAACTCCATCAAAAAGTCAATATTAATTATTTTAAATTTCTTAATTAGAACTAGTTGTCTTTAGCTTACAATGTACAATTTTGATCTTTTTTAATGATTAAATTCCTTTCTTGTTTTGAAAATCTAGTCTAACAATTAGTCGTGTTTTATTTAATCAATGTTAGATAATAATTGTAAAATTTGAGATATATTATATACTACGTTTAGTAATTCTATGTTTACAAGTGATACTGTAATGTATGCTACTTATGTCTATCGGCATAAGTAGTATATAACTGTTATACCGATTGCTTGGATGCCCTGTTATTGTATGGCGTGATGATGCCCGCCAATCACAGAGGAGTGAATTTATCGATCGGATCAATAATACACAAAAGCCGTATGAATAGTCTTGAGCACTTATCAGTCCTATTTTCTGTCTAGCCCAGTCAGTTAAGTCCAGAACATCAATAACAGCCTCTGAAATATGAATCATTATTCTCAAACATACTGGGCTTATATACCGAACAAACTGACCACATCGTACAATAACATAGAAAATAACATCTGTAATAGATTTGGCCAAATGTGGTTGTGAATAGGGGGAATAGTAATTAATGGACTAGGGATAACTCAAGAATGGTAAATCGTATAATAATAGTATATAAGTCAAAATAAATCTTATAATAAGAGGGACACGAATATGAATAGTTTAGTTACTTGACAATTATACAATAGGAAATATACATATCATATTGGTTCATAAATAGTTCTCAAGGTTAACATTCATAAATCTCCATGGGAAATAACAGTAACACCAATCGGAAGAAGAAAACCTGGCAACAAAAAGCTAAGAAGATCAAGTTGAAGAGAATAGTAAGTAAAATAGGAAGGAATTGTGAACTTGAAGAATTATAAAGAATGTGAAGGACAAATTTCAGAAATTCGCAAATGAACTATTATGTGTATAGTTAGCATATCAATAAATGACGACTCTTTTACATTTTCAGAAGTATATTACACATGATATCCTCATTTGTCGACTATTATCATTTATATTTATGAGCATTAAGTTATCGATAAACCAGTGATGATAAAACTAGAATAACTCATCATGATTTCGTCCGGAATGAATGATTAGAAAATTATCATTAACTTTAAACAAATTCTTGTTGTGCTTGAGAATAATTAATGGTCTCTTATAGCATTTTATTCTGAGATACCATAAGAATTTATTCGGTTAAAATGATTACTGCAAAGGTAGTATACTAAACATTGTAATAACTAACCAAATAACTTCTTTTATCATTGTTTTTATAGTGATATCATCTTGTAGTGATAAAAAAACACAGTTTGATGACAGTAATATACCTGATCCTATATTGAATAATGAAGATATTAATGATATTGTTAATGAGGAGAAAAGTGTTTTAACTCGGACACCAACACCGACAATGAATAATTCAGAAACATCTATATATGATTCTCAAGATGATTCTGTCTTATTTTATAATTGTAAATTCAATAAACCTGGTAAAAATAAAATTATTATTTAAATTCAATATAGAAATATTACTTATTTTGTATTATTCATTCATATGTAATTTTTTGAACATTTTGTTTTGATTTCAATCATAAAATATGAAAGATTAACATGATCAAATAAGTAAATTCACTTGGTATTGTTTGTTTAAATATTCTCATTGATGTTTAGGACTGCAATTGATCAGTCTCTTATCGGCATATGTGCATAATGTGCGTATGGCCTCGATATAGCCTTAATTCACAAGCATTATAAGCAAAGATGGATATTGGCTAGCAGTGCACAAACAAGTGGCTATCAGGACTCAATCACTGAGTGGATAACGTGATGGCGATTGAAGCGAAGGGTAATGGGTTTGAGTTCCAGAGTAAACATCAACTCTGAGATGCAGGTACACTTAACTGACGAGTCCCAAATAGGACGAAACGTGTGTCCTGGATTCCACTGTTAGCCATTATCCACCTTTGCTTATAAATAAGTAACTTGTTTCATATTGCTTAGAAAGCTTTTCATTATTATTAACAAAATTGAATTATAAATGTATTGATATCTTCGTAATTTTATGAAATCAATTGGCAATTTGTTACACCGTTTATTGTTAATTAGAGTTTGTATGTAAAGAATAATTCATCAGATTACAGAATAATATCACGAGATTTTAGTTGAAAATCGTTCATGATGAATTTCATTATTGTTATATCATTTTATGATCAAGTATCTCATAAAATGTAATTTTATACTTTCAACGTTTGAGATGGTGGAGATTTGTAGCACAGGTGGATGATTTTGATGGAGTTTTGTTCTCTGAGCTGGATAGTTTAGTTGTGGAACTTTCACAGTCCTTCTGAACGACATCATCAGCACAAACATTTTGTTCCTAAACTTAGGAACAAAACTCAAACCAATGGGAGATACAACCAAAACAAAAAAGTGAGCAATGTCAGAATTAGGGTCAAAAAGATCCAATCAAGATCGAAATGTACAGGTCAACCTGTGAACCGCATGTGGAGAAATTCGAACACTTCAATTCTATCCGAAGTTTGTGCTGATAATGTCGTTCAGAAAGCTCCACAATCAAACCATCCAGCTCACAGAACAAAACTCCGTCAAAAACTTTCAACGTTCTATGGTAGAAATCGTAACAGTTAATTGACTTTTCCTGATGTACAACCAACGAGAAAAATTGTTTTTTAAATATTAAATCTAGAAAGAAAGAAACTATAAAAGTGTGTTTTAAATGTCATGGCTAACTTTGATTACAAATTAGTCAGATATCTGAATAAAGAAGATCTATGTTTAGTAATGAGATGTATCCTATGTAATCACTTTGAATATGGTTAGTACGCTCTTTCTATGATTGATTTTCATTGTCATTTATGGTATCCGTTAAAAAGTCTACTGTCTATCCAGTTTATCGTTAAACAGTCTATTATTTTATTATAAAACCATGAACAAACTCGCTAAGAATGCGATATTAGTAGATAACTATTTTTGAGTGTGTATCAAGCTTCGAATTCTTCATCAACTAATAATATTATATATATATATATATATATATCACATTATTCTTTTGATTTTTCCTTTTACAGATGACGAACGTATGAATAAAATGGATAGTAATGATAAAAGTTTATTGGAAAAATGGTTAGATGTATTTAATCCTGACGTAGAATTACTGGTAAGAAACTATATTATTATTGTTGGTATTATCATGACAATTATATACCAGTTAATTTATATAACCATGTATATATCTGATAGTTAACGGCTTCTTTTTACAGTTATATATATGAAACCAACATAACAAGATATTGATATGTAGCATTATTTTATCACAGGAGTTTACATTATTTCTCACGATATGAAAGTTACCTCATTGATTTCTCGGTTACAGAAATACGAGTAACATCTGAGACATACAACTAGATGACAAACGTAAAAAATGTCATAGAAGAAGACCTAATGAATAACCTTGATTATTTTGTATTGTTTTAACAAAGCAAAATTTATCCAGTCAGGTTCAGATGCTTATCCAAAAGTTATTAATTTCATGTGACAAGAACTTTGAAATGAATAATGCCTCGATAAGAGGGAATTTAATATTAAGTACTACTACTGAATAAACCGAAACCATATTTAAACATCCCACTTTCAGGCAATCAGTTAAAAAAAGTTAGCGAAAGGTATAAAGACGTCGAATGAGGATTGAGAGATTAAGAGGGATACAGAATCCAGAAAACATGTCTAATTTCCTCTTTGTGCTTTAAAAATAAATATATCTGCATATCTGGAATTATGAGCTATGTATCATAATTCTTTTAACCATAAGCTCTACAGTTGAGACAAGTATTTTGTATTTTCATCATTAAATATGTATCGAATAATAATTCAAACTCCACCCAAACAGTTATTGTTCCATAATCTTATTTATGTGTTTATCACTTCTAAATGCTTAAACAAACATTCTGTTCGAATGTATTTATTCTATTGTTCTTAGAAATCCATAACTTCATTTTATTGGTTATTGGAACGGATACTCAAGATGTTGGTAGACATTTTTATGCCATAAAATTACATTAATGGACATTTCTTCATTGTAGTATTATGTTGAATCACTCCAAATGATATATTTTAAGGTCTATGTATTTATTAGTCAATCGACGGTTTCCATGGCGTCGCTAATCGTATCCATCTCTTCTGTTGATCACGTTCTTGTTCACCCATATGTACAAATCTTCAGCTGTCAGTGTTTCTGCATGAGCACCAAGATCTTTCTGAAGTACTTTAGTACGTTCAAAATTGATCTTAAATTCCATTTTTGGTAGAGATAGTGGTATTGTCGATTTACTTTCAAGTTTTTTTAGTTGGTCTGATGGTTTTGGAAATGTTTCAAACATTGTTTGAGCTATCTCTTCACCTAGACATTCAACTGTCTGGATATTTATCCTTTATACACCGCATTATGTTCATGACACTCGATGCAATAAACACAGTCCTTTTATTTCTCTATTGGTATGCTAACCTTTACTTTCACCTATGCTAATCTGGCAGTTTCCATTGCTCGAAAACAAACTTTTATATCATATGTATACAGAATTTTTCTTATTTCTTCCAAAGTTACATATATATATATATCATTATTTGACCATAGACTTATGTTTTTGTAGTTAGTATATTACGACATCAAAAATTCAAATTGTGGTCTGGGTATTGGCTTCGGGGATACTGTAGGAGATGAAGAAATATTTGGTGAAAATCAGCACCATCATTATATAACAGAAATTAATCCTGAAGGGCCTATTGGCAAAGAAGAAATCTTATTGATTGGAGATGATTTACTTGAAGTTAGTTTTCTCCATTTGTTATGATTTGTGATACATATGAATGAATTCATTTTCTTCATAGTTAAAACCATCCATCTCATTAATACAAAGGTCACTTAATTGATTTATAAAATTTATTTAAAGTTTATAAGCAAGTACTTATTCGTTATATATGCATGATAGTTTAAATAAAAGATATTTATTTTATTATAATTCTCAAGATTGCTAAGGTCGATGGGTAAACTAGAAGTCATCATAGCGAATAAATTTGAAAGTCTTTAGGTTTAATGTTTACCCTATTTTATGAATGTATTCTAATCATGAAACAATCGTTAAAAGGAAGGATCTCATTCATAAGCCTAATATCTAAGGGTTTGTGAATATGAAGTATTAGATTATTGATTTTGATATTTTTTAAATGATAAACATTCAGACTATATCGAAACTATTCCACTTCTGAGAAGCAATTGTCATAAATTGTTGACAAAAGGATATAGTCAATCATTTCATTCTAATAATTTCTTCATTGAGGGTTTTGATTTTGATAACATAGTTATTTATCGTTATCAGTTCTCGATTTTATCTCAATCCAATAATCTGTTTAGCTAATCACTTAACATCGATAACGTTTCTTCTACTCGAAGTTTGTGCTGATAATGTCGATCAGAAGGACGATGAAAGCTTCCTGACCAAACCGCCCATCTCAGAGAACAAAACTCCATCAATAACGTTTTTTCACCAATTGAAATAAGAAATTTATCTTTCTAAGCTGATATAAATTAGTAGAGACTTGAGACCATAAAGTGTAGTTTTTTAAATAGATTTCCTACTTCGATTTGTTTGCAATGTTTTTCAGTAATCATTTAATCTTTTAAAGATAAGTAATACTGTCTTATTGAATTACATTAGTTATTGTTTTAATTTCTAGATGTTTGTTAGTGGATAGAAACCATGTTTATTGATAAAATTCTGATTATTTTCACGTTGTTCAATTGTATACCTCCCTGTAATGATGTTTTGTTTTCTCATTAAATTATTCACTTGTCAAACATTAAAATTCATGGACTTTTGTCCTATCATCAGTTTTGGTAGAAATAGATATATTCACTTTGTGTGTTGAAAGTTGAATCTGTTATGATTTAATTTTCAATTTCATCTTTATTAAGATTTTATAACAGAATGAAAACCACTAAAAACAAGAGAATATAAACTGTTTCGATCGATTATGAAACTTCTTGATAGTACGCACTCTACAAGCTCGCTAAATATGGAATCTACAATCATCGGACCCCATAGCCATTATTTAATCTTCTGGGCCACTGGATCCTAACTTCAGTTAATTTGCAACATTGTGTGTACTAAATTCATTGCCTTTGGCGGTATCTGTTTTCTTCCTATGGTGATTAGACTTTATAAAACATGACCTTTTACTAAAAATTTTGGAATTCGACTCAAATCCAATCACTAATGATAATAGTACTAATGTTTACTCAAAGGTTTTGGATTGTTTATTTCAAATCAAAGCTTATTTTCTCTACAAACTGATATTGACAGAGGAACCTTTGAAAACCAGAAAGTTAATTTATAGCCGTAATCGGGTAAATTGGGATACCTCGGCATTTTACTTTTCTTCCACAAACGAATATTTAGTTATCATCCTAAATCATAGTATATTACGTTTATTTGCACTTTTTTACGTTTTATTAATATCACTGCATATGTTTTATATATTTCAGATTAATAATGTTGTTATCGTTAACAAAGATCATTTAGAGATCTCCAGTATTTTTCCTACTATTCCTTCTGAAGGATATTTAATATGTGCTCGTTATCCAAATGAATCTTCTCTAATTGATGTCAAAGAAGAGAATGAAAATGATGAATCGGCTTTATCCAATGTTGTTCCTTTCATTCAAACTCCAAGTGATGATGAGATTCCTACTGTCGATTTCAGTGGTCAGATTTCGGATGATAATCTTCTCGGTGAAACCAATTCAGGAATTAAAAATAACAAAAACCTAGCACCACTGAACAATGAAGAAGGAATTGATCAACGTTCTGGATCTGATATTGATGAAAGTCAATATCCAGTGAGACTTTTGACGGTTACTGAGTCTGTTCTGCAGAATCAAAGCTGCAATCACGGATTTCAAACTGAAGACATTCAAACTGATGAAATGGTATTTTATTGAAACTTTATGCCTGATTTTGTCAGTGTTTCATAATCGATATTAATTTGTAACATTATACAACTAACCACGAACAAGAAGACTGAAGGGTGTTTAATATTATTTTATCTTATAAATCTAGATTGTAATTAGTTTAATCGAGCACAGGATATGCAGTTTTGTGTTAACCAATCATAGTATTATCCTATTTTTTTTTCATTTAACTAGTGTTCTCAACAAAATCGTATTTACAACTATAATTAAGGGAATAAATCCAATTTTGTAGGGGTATTGACATGATTGAATGAAACCTGATAATTCGAACCGTGATGCAAAGAAATTAAGACCAATAGTCTCCATAATCTCCTACGTGAAGTTTATATTTCATGTATTTTTTAATGAAGCACTATACCTTTGAACACGGATAACTATCCTTATGATGTTAATCTCTCTCTAATACGTTGAATATGTTGTATCCATTTTGATATGTATTCAGCATGAGCAAAAACGTATTTCAAAAGTTCCATAGGTGTTTTGGTTCTTCAGATCGCTCTCCAAATTTGTTAGTTTTAAAGATTTCTCAATGTATAGTCGAATGATTCATTAACGTGGAAATAAAATCGTTCCAGTTTTTCTGAAACTTCGCTCACCAAATTGTTTTACTTTACTTATTTTTGTACGGTATCTCCATCATAAAATGAATCTATTTTCACTCCTGCTTAATCATAAGAGCAGAACTCTAGACCATTTATTAAATTTTGTTATGGACGTGGCTTATGATTGATAAATTAACCGTTACTAAATAACTTTAGTTAATTTGATCTACTTTCAATGTATTCAGTAGTTAGATGCTAAATATAAACATTTCATATTTACTTTGATCTGTAGACGTGTAACAGCTCATTTTCTAATCAAGCAGGTTTTGACGGAATTCAATTAATATAGCCATTTTAATATTCAAATCTAATGAGTAAGACTTTTGTATATATTTATTAAACAAAATTTCACTCTTCTAGTTAAGATATTCACGGTCTGAAATAACAGTTATTCGTTAATGATTTTCGGTGAATGGTTAAATGTTCACCCTGATATTGTTCACTAGTTTTTCTGTGTTACGCTAGCATATCCAAAAATATATAATGTTATGGAAAATATATCCGAATGTAACAAAATGTACTGTCATATTTAATACAAAATTAACCACATAGACAAGTGTTTTGACGGAATATTTTGGATGACTTTGCATTTACGGTTTACTATATTAGTAATAAGGATCTTGTTTCGTACTTTTTGTGGCAAACATAATGTAGCGATTTTTATACTCTTTATTCCGTCCCATTATTCTACTTTCAGAGTTACGAGTTGGTTAAAGTTTAAGGACTCATAATAAGTTTAGCAGAACTCTGATGTAAGCAGTTGAATATCAGTTCGTCTTCATGGATTACAGGAACTGAGATTAATTGGTCTTAGTTGAACAAGCCAATTTTTAAGACAGATTGTTTACAAATTATCGATGTTGTCCCATCTCACTTTACCATTCTAGTAAACATTTGCTTAAACTTCATACTTAATCAAAAATGTAATTTTGAAGGTTTATAATAAAAAATATCGACTATGTTGCTTACAGGTAATTACTCCATCAACTATTCACTTGTTCCATTCACATAGTGAATAGCTTTATTTTTTTTAAAAATTACGTGTATTTATTTTAGATAACTGAAGATATTCAACCAGAAATTGATAAGAATAATCTAGTAATGAGTGATCAAAAATCTATTGAATCGACAGTTATGAGCTCACCACAACGTCTACCAATGGCTGTGAAATTAGTGAAATCCATGGAAAAATTACCGCTTCATACTACGTCGCCTAAAGTATTCAGTTTAATATCTGAAAATAATAATTCAAACCATAGTGATCTGATTCAATTGAATGAAATAACCAATCAAAATGATGATAATGATGTGTTAACTGTTAAAGTTTTAAAAAAAGCTGGTGAAATACTTGGTAAAGTATATAAAATAAATTAGTAATTTATTATTTATAGAACTAATTTTTTAGTTCATAGTAACAAATCATTAATTGTATCAAAATACAAATTAGTATATTTCTTAGTAATATGCACATTGTTATATTAATTGTGTGAGTGCTCTGTTATTATATATGAACGTGATAAGACCGCCTATCAGAGAGCAGTGTTTTATCGATCGGATTAATGATACACGAAAAACTCTATCAGCAGTCTTGAATACTTATCAGTCCTGCTTTCTACCTAGCCCTGACAGTTAAGTCCAGAACACCAACAACAGCCTCTGTAATATGAATCATTATTCTCAAACATACTGGGCTTATATACCAAACAAACTGACCACATCGTACAATAACATAGAAATTCACATTTGTACAAGATTTGGCCAAATGTTGCTGTGAATAGGGGAACAGCAATTAATGGACTAGGGATAACTCAAGAATGGTAAATCGTATAATAATAGTATATAAGTCAAAATAAATCTTATAATAAGAGGGACACGAATATGAATAGTTTAGTTACTTGACAATTATACAATAGGAAATATACATATCATATTGGTTCATAAATAGTTCGCAAAGTTACCATTCGTAAATCTCCATGGGATATAGCACACAAGTCACGTGTCGCTTAGTGAAAATGAAAAGATGATTATTATTATGATATCTATTATAATTTGTACCTTTTTTCGAAGCTTCGTTTATATGAATAATATGTCGAGTCCGAATAACACTTTTGTTGTTTTAAAGGTGAAGACTATTTTAAATTACTTATATTACATATGACATTATGACTGTAATGTACATAATTTTTATGAATTCCATTAATCTAATGGTATCATTTTCTCTTATGGATGTGGGTATAATAAGTTTTACACCAGGTAGGGTCGTTGAAGCTCATAACTTAGGAAACGTATGTCGATAGGCTTTCAGGTCATAGTGTTTTTCAATCGTTTAGTAGGTGACCTTACCCATCAATGGCAAACAATTCAAAATCGAATAAATTCTGTTACTTCATATAGTCAGTATTTGTATAGTATACTGTTGAATCAAAACTTGTGGAGCTTTTGTAAAGTTCTGCAAGTAATGGTGATGTTTTATAAGATTTACTACTATAACTGCATATGTGTGTTTGGGTTTTGTTTGGTAAGTATGCAGTTGCTTGCTTAGGTATAATACAAGTTTGTAATGAAACCCAAACAATGGTTATGAAGTTGTATCTCCTGTTATAAACCACGTTTTCAATTTGATTCTAAAATGTTTTTGATATATCGTAAAATTTCCGTTACGCATTCCAAACGTCAAAGTGTATCTTAAGCATTGTTAGGTGATTGAATGTGTGGGCCAGAAAGTCTTTGAATATGCTTTCGTGGTACTCAGCACTCATCATCAAACCTTATCTTTAAACCACTAATAGTATTGTTTGGGGTGGTTTTAAATCGAATGTTTTAATTGTGAAATAATAACTGTCTTAAAGCTGCATGATATCATAAAACCTTATAAAAAGAAAACCTGATTTAAGATGTTTAATACCATGTACATCATTTAAATAAGAGAGTCTTGAAATTCAATATATATGATTTTAGTATGGTGAAAAAACCTGCATACTCTTAACGCAGTATATTTTTCTTACAAATATGTTTTCACATTATATTATACATTTTGGACTTCATTTTTAGGTTTAGAACTGGAATTAGAAAGTGGAGATGAAAGAGGTATAAAACTTGCACATATTACTCCTGGAAGTCCAGTAGATCGTTTGAAATATTGGAATCAATACAAGTCTATGGATTGTATTCAAACTGATTCAGACTATTCGAAACTTTCAGAAACTTCTTGTATAAATGGTGATCATTTACGTATTCCTACTGCTGGTGATCGAATTTTAAGTGTATCAGATTATAGTTTTCAAAATATGTCGGCTTTTACAGCATTAAGATTACTAAGAAAATTAATTTCTTATTCTGGTTTTATAAAGTAAGTTATTGAAAGGAATTTCTTTAAAAATTAATTCTTTTTTATCAATACTACTTACTTTTTGTCTTGATTATAACCAAAATAACGATTTTTCATAGCAATTCCGTTTGGTTGTGACGTACTTCAATTCCGTATCGTCTAAAAATATTCATAACATTTGCGGATAAATTACATCTATAACGTGATGAATTGAAAGTTGAGACTGTTATCATTACAAAGAATAATTAAATTAGTTTACATGGACAAATAAAACTTCCAATCAGTCATAATAAATGCAGAGTGTAGTATTAATGTACGCTACACAACGACGTGAAATGAACAAGGTGAATGTCGTAGATGCCATGATAATTAAGGGAAACGGTTTTAAGAATGTAGTTTAAAAGAACATGATGAGAAAGTTTTTAAACAGAGCAAGAACAATAAGGTTTACAAAATAAAATGAATTCATTCTACTTAACGATTTCTTGTCAGCTGCATAAAACCACAAATTACATTTACCAATATGAATATAATTAATAACAAAGGTTTAGAATGCTTTAGTTTGTAAAGTTCAGATGAATGTTCAAAATCATAACGATCGAAAAATAAGGATAAGAAGTGTATAGTAGAATACAATATACTAAACCAGATATGCTGATGATACGTTCATTATCTGTGAGGAAATGGAATACGCTTCTAGGTTACTTAGTCATTTTAACAACTCTCATCCTAACATAATGTTTACAATGGAATAAGAAAAAGATAACCAATTCAATATTTTAGATCTTAGTATAGATGGAGAAAATTGATGGAAGTCTTGAGAAAAATATATATATATAGCAGTTTTCGTCCTATCCGTTACAAAAGATGTCAAAACGTCCTTCCATAGAGTTAAGATATTATATTCAAATGACAAAATAAATGAAGAATAGCCTATTCTGGAAAAGCATTTAATAAAAAATGGATACCCAAGGAAATTTATTAAGAGATACAGGAAAGAACATCTTATGGATGATAAACAATCAACTATTAACAAGAAACTTGTCTTCATGCGCCTTCTGTTCAAGGAAGAAGATATTTGAGGGAGAATTGATGTAAGGGTCACAGCGGCACTGAAAGATACTTCCCTGCTGCTCAGTTTGTTTCACTATACAACACAAGGTGTTTTCTATACCGCTCAAAGGTAGATCAACACCCTTCCGACATCACCTCCAATTGCATTTATGAATTTACATGTACTTGCGGTGCAAAGTAAATAGAGAGAGAAAGGTCTCTACAAAAGATTAGAGTCTTTACAATCGCAATTGCCAGACATCTTGATAGTGGACGCGAAGTGAATGTAAGTAATACATTCAAAATAATGAACAAACAAAATACATCAATCTTACTCCGTTTTGCAGAGGCGATCGCTATCAGACGTTATTTGACAATAAACTGTAGTTGCCGCTTCTCTTTGCCTTCTGATTTTATGCACAGTTAAGATTGGTATTATAACGGTTATCAAGGCGAACGATCAACGAACCACGGCACTACAATACTATCTCCATGGACAAATTTCATGATGTAATTATTATGGATGATTTATTCGTTTAATGTTAAATAATAACACTACTCGATATAAAGTCACTGGTTGTATATTTATAACAGTGTCAATCAACACACGCAATAGTATTTTGAATCCCTAGATTAATGAATTTATCAAATGCAGAATAGTTCTAAAATCATTTCCCTCTTTTTCTTGACTAACATAATTACTTTTAATCACGTTAAAAGTTAGTAAAATAAAAAATTTGGTATTATGGTACAAAGTATTTCTAAATATTACCACTCATTACTCCATTTTTTAAAGTTCGTTGTAATGAAGTACGAACTTTCAAAAGAAGCCACCTCCTTTTAAACAATAACGGATATTAAACACAATTGTTTGTATTATTTACAATGTTTTAATTTTTAATATATGATAACGGTTTAAGGCGAGACTATAATTTATGGACGACGTTTGAACGAATCTTAAGTGATCTTGAGAAATATTAGCCAATCAGGAAACAGTCAGTATAGAGTAAAAATATATTATACAAAACCAAAGAACTAAAGTGGATGCACTTGTTTTACATGGTTCAAAAACTTGTCAAGGTTAGAAAGAGGTTCAAAGGTTCCAAAATTGTAATGCATAAGGTAGAGTAACTCATCCATATGGCTCCGTAATAGTCGGTCTTTGGAGCTATGATGAGGTTGCAAAAACTCTCTCACCCTCGACTACAGAGCTTCAGTACTCCGGTTGTGTAAGTTTATCATTTTTATTAAGCATATATACCTACAATACTCATACCACTGAACAGCCGAAGCTTCAGTAACATCTGCGACTGTTGCAGCCAACGTTACTAATGCTTTTATTGTACAGTTGGTAGCAATTATTATAATATACCTTAGTCTCAATCTGGATTGAGAGAAAGAAGTTTCTATTCTAGCAAATGTCTTCCTCCAACATATATTACATCGAAGTACAACATCGTAGTAGTCTGCACAAGGTTTACAAGTCATTTGATTACCACAATTATAAATGAAGGAACTTCTTAGTCGTCCCATTTATTCTAGCTACTTAATTGTCACGTCTTCTCTAAAATCCTCTGTGAACCAATCATATATGAGCATCAGGTACTGAAATAAGCGCCGTGATCTTGAAATCCTTCAAACGTTTGTGATTAACTCTTTCATATATTATAGTCTTGCCGGGTTTAATATTAAATAATTATGAAATAGAAATACCAAGAATTTTGTATAAAATCAAAATTATTTAATACATAATGGTCAATATTAATTGTGATGATTGAAATGAAATCAAATTTTTCTTCTCCTAATCGTCAACTTTCCGTTGTTATTGTTGTTGTTTATTTGGTTTTGCTTGTATTTATCTATTTCTCTCATTCATTCATTCATTCATTCATCCATTCATCCGTTAATTGTATTTCTATTACAAAATAAATCAATATTAAATGAAAACTTTTTGTAGTTATGCATTTACTTTAATTCAACTAAAAAAATAATTATATTATTAATTCTATTTTTCATTCTTTTATTAAATTTTTTATTTGCTTGAATTATTCCATTTTTTTAAATTTTTTTAAAAAATTTTTTATTATTTATTTTTTAATATTTTGTCTTCCTGACTAACTTTAGGATAACTAGTTGACAAAAAAAACGAAAAAAAAGAAAAAAAAGAAACGTGTTAAATAAAATAAAATTTAAAAAAAACAAACAAGAATTTCAAAATAAAAGAAAGAAAAGGAACTAGTCAATATTTTATTTATTTCTCAATTCCAGGGATGCTTATAATCGTTATCATAATTATTCAAATTTTATAATAAAGTATATAAAAAAAAAGAAATAGTGACTTTTTATAATCATAACAGGAAGTGTAAATTTTATTTTTTTTTTCTTTTGCAAACTATTGACTAGGATACATTTATATGTGAATAGAATATTAATTTAATGTATGCTTACACAAAGGATAAGTCAAATAGATTTATGACGGAAATTAGATAGGTTTTTTTTGTTATATTTTATTAACTATATATTTTGCGTGTATGCATTGACAGTGAAATAATCTTTTTTTTCAGTATAGCATTGTGGAAATTCTTACGTTTCGATTAAGATCATGAATTGATCGATGTTAGAGCATCATTGAGAACCTGGAAGCATTGGACAGTTGTTTCGTCTTAGTAAAAGACTCCTCAGCAGTACGCATTCATGATCCTACACGCGTGATTATAACTAATCCGTGTCAGGTATTGATAAGTATCTACATCACATAATGGAATATGGTCGCGCAATTTTGTGGACTGGTGTAAGTTAGGCATTAACACCGTTGGATACTGATCAGTTCAGTGATTTAGAGCTTAAGAGTTTGCGCGCGAGACCGAAGATCCTGATTTCGAATCTAACGTGCGAGATCACAGATGTACACTTCTGAGAAATCTCATGCTAGGTTGAAGCGGCCATCCAGTGCTTCCAGGTTTTCCATTGTAGTCTAGCTTTAATTGACTCATGAATTCAACAATAAAATGAGTAAAAATCTTCACAAAACCCTCTTCTAATAATATTTGTTATTTATTGCTATATTCGAATTCGTAAAACAAATTCAGATTCTTTTCATAAGAAATGATAGTATAAACTGGGATATCTCTATTAATTTCATGTGTCTTTCATAACCATAGCTCTAATGACATGTTACTCTATAAAAATGAAAAAAATATAAATATAAATGCTCCGTACACATTAACCATGGAATAATAGACAGTAAAAAAATTAATTTCCACCACTAACTGGCATCAACTGGAAAAGAAGAACAAGTATCAAAATTATGATAAAGAACATTTCCTTCTCTTTTCTTAGTCAAGTTTATCACTACAATTGTCTTTTTTTTTAGTTTTTAGATAAATATTAGCTTGCGATCGCTTCAATTGTTAAGTTCTTGTTACCTGTAAAGATTATAATTTAATATGGTATTAAACAATGGCTTAAACAAGAGTCTCCATGCTAATTAAGCTGTCTACACCAAAGACAGTGGTAGATAGTTTGTAGTTATTTTTTGTTTGTTTTATAGATACACTTACGGTTTGTATCATTTAAAACAGTTACAGTTTCTTTGTTTATCTCTGTTAACAGAAATCTTTATGATAATATCTTCTTTTTCAAATGAAAATTCATAACATTAAAACCGAAATCAATAGATTTAGTTAAATGCCTGTTCTAAATAACCTTGATTACATCATCAATCCATCATAATTCTATGATCATTAATACTTTATTTCTATTTTAATGGTAATCTGAAGTTCATCATATTAAATGGTTATAATCTTTCATTCCTTTAATCTTTTTTATTGTGTATTATGTTTGAAACTAGTTTTTTACATAATGATATCTCTTAGTATCTCTTTAACAATTTCAATGAATAAAAAGATCAAATTTACACTTACTAATTGAAAGCCACGATTGAAACTCGTGAAAATTTCTGTTTTCAT